GAAAGAATGAAAAACGTGCACATAGGTATATCTTAAGCAGGGCTTTCAAAAGTACTCATTTTACCATGAACAGCCTACAACAAGAAAATTATGCAAATTTTGCATGTATCTTAATTATCAGGCACATGACTGAGTATACACACGGTGGAAGAATACTCGTTGTATATAGAAGTAGATAACAAAACACGGCTTTCAAAAGCGTTTCGTTTCCCGTAGACAGCCTTTAATAAGCAGGCCGTACTGAAGCAGTTCCAAACGAGAACCAAGTTTGTGGTACCGTAAGTTGGAACCCATCTTTTATCGAACGATTTCGCGAATACTAATTGTTCTCCGCTATAATCTAGACAATAGTGTTAAGTCATTTAGAATTAATTTGAAATATTCGTGGCATACAATAAATATATGCTGCAGATATTTTTTTATATTTTTAATATATTAAAAATACGTACATGCCATGTATTAAAACAAGAGCAGCACAATAATTCAGAAGTCAAGACACAAATCTAGAAATTTCTTCTATGCTATAAATGTTTGGAATTTCGATGACAAACTTAAGAGCTTAAGCAGTAGTTTAGCGTATTAAACGAAGAATTATTGTTTCAGAAGAAGTGTTTTTTCGCCGGACAATCCTATCAGTAGAGAGTTCTTGATACTTCTGTATAGCCACATTATTGATAGTGCTAAATTCTAAAATGAAAGCAGATACAATCTATTATACAGAAAATTAAAGACCCGCTGTAAGTAGAAAGTACTTCAGCAAATTTTGTTTGTCCGGTTTAGAGGTCCCATGTAGTGTATAACAAAACCAAACCATAAGTATGTAATTTTGAAAATAACTGATTTGAGCTTCCACATTTTTACTCTTGTGCCAAATGTAGTGGGATTCAGTTGATAAGTTAGGTATTGAATTTAAAAAAAAAGCTTACAGTTAGTACTATTTAGGAACTTACAGGGTATCCTTTTAAGCAAAAAGCATAACGATAATTTATTGTGTTTATGAGTTATTAAGGAGTCCTCTAAAACACATTTTTCCCTTTATCATTCTCTTAGTTTTCGAATTTCAAAAAATTCTTAAATGAATATTAGATATTTATACAGGCAACCTTTTGAATCTACGAGTATAGCGATATTTCATCGAGTTAATGAGCTACTGAGGAATCCTAGAAAACATATTTTTATCCCTTCTCGCTCTCTTAGAGTCGAGTTTCGCCTATCTTTCCCTAGTGAGTTCCTGCACTCTAAGGGGAATCCATCCTTAAATTTTCTTGCTTTAGTAATCTGCCGTTTGGACTGTGCATTGACCTGTGTGTCAGTCAGTAGGGATAATTCATTATATACATAGAGATTTTCATAATGTGTACCATATAGATAGGCCTATCTAGATTCGTCGCAAAAACTTATTATAATTCAATTTTGATCCAAACTCAATATTCTGGTAATACTAAACATTTAAAGGGAGCATTGGAAATACAAACTGACAGCTTTGCTCTTCTTTCATTTTAGGAGTTAGTTACACCTGAAAAATTTAGTTTGTGTTTTAAATTTCAGAAACTAATGAAAAATTTATCGCCAAAATTGTATCCGTAATTGTGCAAACGGTAACGTCTTAACAAATTTTAATTTTACAGTAACGTACCGTATATTCAGAATTACAAACATACTAACCATTAGGATGATTCGTCATTGTCCATATCTCTTTGATGAACCACCAAGTCGAATTGAAATATCCATACATGCAACAGCTAACTATAACAAAAATTACATTCATATTTAGGAATTGGTAATTAACGTTACTCATTATGAGTTGGCAACATTGTGCTGGCTCGGGGAGAAGGGGGGGGGGGGAGTCTCGTACACAGTGGTGGTTGAGTTCCGAGCGGCCTTGAAATCAGTGAACAATTAAACTTTGGCACGAACATAAACGAATATTTTGTGTGGAACGGTTCGTATTAAGCGAGTCGATCGTATTCGTGCAGTGAGAGTTTCGTCGGGCATTTGTTAGGCCTACTGATCAGCAACGTGAAACTGCACTACCTAAACAGTGAAAATTGTTATATATATATATATATATATATATATATATATATATATATATATATATATATATATATATTTATGAAACGTTCGTGCATCTGCTAAAACGAACATAACAAATTTGGCATACAAATAGCACAATAACAATCCGCTTTAACAAAGAATGTTTAAAAGAATGAGGAATTAAATTCAAAATGGTGAACCAATTACATTTTTTGGTTAGGTTAGGTTAGATTACGTTAGGTTAGGTCAGGAGACACAATAGTGACCTAACATTGGTCACTACTATAACACAACCGTAAACAGTGGAGGTGGTGATTAGCAACTTTAACCACCACTCACACATGGAAACAAAAAAATGAGCAAATTAATGTCAAACACAAATACTTTCAATATAGCATTATTATTATTTTTTACTAAATAAAACATACACAAAACATTAAACTGTCAAACACACTCTCATTTTTTTTTAACATTATCAAACTAACCTAACCATATTTTAAAACTATTTATACTATTTGGAACAATTTAACCTATTTTAAACTTTCTTCGTACTCAGGCAATGGTTAGGGTGCAAACTGAATATATGCTACTTATTATAAAACTGTTTTAGTCCGACGTATGCAATGATAGCGTCATATGAAAAGTTGGGCCTAAATATCATATATTCGTAATTTCTCAAACAAGTCCCACTACATTTGTCATGCAATTACTAATTTGGAGGCCCATGTAATAATATTGTACAGGACATTCACTTATTTTAAAATTACAGTCTTATTGTTTTATTATATGCTACATGTACGGGACCACCAAACCATACAAACTTGATTTATTGAAGTCCCTACAGTGTGCCGGAAATTTGCTGTATGAAAGATTGTATCGTCTTTTATTTTAGAATAAAACGTTACCAAAAATACAGCACTCTCGAGGACTCTCTACCGATAGCATTAAGTCTGGTGAAAAATTCTTTATCCTGAATCAATTCTTTTTAAGCCTGGTATACTACGACTTACGTTTTAAATGCCGTCGTCAAAATTCCTTACACATGTAATGTTGCGAAATGTTATTGATTTTGTTTTGTCGCGACAGCTGTACTATGTTGCTATTCTTTCTTAAATACTATTTTCAAGTCATTGGCATATTTGAACGATGTTATAAATATTTAGTGAAACATTTCTGCAGCACGTTTTTATTGCATGCCATAAACATCTCAAGTGAATTCCGAACTAAATAACGAGATCTTTCTAAATTATAGCGCTGGCATAATTTTTATTCGTATCATCAGTTCGAGAATATATATTAAAGGTGAGTTCCAACTTCTTGTACCACAAACTCGGTAGTCATTTGGAACTATTTCAGTACGGTCTGCTTATTATAATCCGTTCAAGGTAAACTGAGCACTTTTGAATGTCCTTCATAAGCTCTGTGCTCTGTGCATTCTTCCAACACATGTAGAATTAATATTGCCATGTGCCTACGATCAATTTAATCACGCGTCTGTCAAATGAGACTGTGAAATTATAAGAAAATTAAATACTTTTCAAATTCATGACTACTCACACTTATACGTATCAAAGAAACAGAAAGCAAAATAGATCACTTCAGTATTCGTGAATGTCTACCGGAGACTTTTCATCCAATGTTAAGCTAGAACTATTTTCCTTCCGCGCCATAGCCAACTCTAATTACTGGGTGCATGTCAGTCAGTGTAAACATTAAAATGTACGCAGGCAGGAGCAGTGACATCTTTCAGAGATTATTTTCGAATGTGCTCACTTTGCCGTGCTGCAACTGTAAATAAACGTTATACATCCCTTATTTGCACTAGTCACATTTATTGTGAGATATCTTCTATCACACACGGGCCTGGAGAGAAAAGGATTTTTCAGGCGGGTTTCGTGAGAAAGTTCCACGGGTTGCTGCTGTTTCCTCATCTAAATTCATCTCGTTGCTGCTCGACGCCCCCCCCCCCCCCCCCCCCTTTTTTTCACATTGCACCACGTGTTCTCCAAGACTGGAAAACATCGACAGGACAATCAAGGCTCCACTTGAGCGCCAGTCTCATTTTAACCTTCACTGAACCGGGGAAATATATGACTTTTGCAAGCATGATTACAAGTTTCAGTCAGATGATTGCCCTTCGGATAGACTATTTTGATTTATAATCGACTAAACTGTACTTATCTGCGTCACTGTATTTCATAAATACAGTCACTGTGGGACATCTTTATACCATTAAGGGTAACAGCCCCCCTACATCCACACTATATTAGATATTATGGTAAACATTTTTTTTTTCGTTGGGGCCGACTAGGACCACGTTAAGCCTTCTTGCATTTGGCAGCGAGTTACGTTTTTCTTTTGTGCCCAGAATTCCCTCATTTGTTGTGAGTGGGCCTGTTTGTGCTCTTATGACCAAGGGGAACCGCGTCTTATTTTGGGTTGTTGGTCTCGGTTTATCCCATGCGTCAATATCTTCTTCCGAAAGTGATCTCTATCAAAAGCATCTTCGGGTTTTATTTCCAGTAAAAGAAGGTCCTATTTGGTGTTCACGAATCAGCACATCACGGTTTTGGGTTTTGTATCGAAAACATTATAGATTTTTTTTTTTTTAGTCAGTCTGTTTTCCTCCATTCGTTTGAGGTGACCGTAGAATCGTGCCCACCTTTTGCGGATTGTTTCCGCAAACATTTTTATTTCTAAATAACGTCGCAATATGAAGGGATCTTCGCGCTTTCATTTGAAATTCAATATGCCAGATGCAGGGATTTATTTGCATGACATTGTTACTTCTGGGTGCATTAGTAACGAGTCATGCCATGCCCTGCGCTAGAAATATCACCGGTGCGTGCTCCAAGCCACATGGCGAACATTACAAGTCTCGATATTACCGACTGCATTACAGCATGTATGCATGTAAGCGGCGATTTGGTAACACTTTTAAGCGGCAGGCACAAAAAACGCAAGGTTCCGTGGTGATAACACTGCCTTACACGCAGAAGGTCCCCGGTTCGATCCCGGGCGGGACCACTGCATTTTACGCTCGAAGTATTGTACGCTAATTACGTCGTGCAGTAATGTAGGTGAGGCGATGTAATTGCAAAGCTGCCGAAATTTTATCTTAACTCTCATAAAATATATTTGCAAGTATTTCATATTTATGTAATTTTTCAAGACGGCAAAGACTGGTCTGTGTGAAAACGGTTTCAAAACACTTAGCAGAACGTGGGACATAAATTAGCGATCGCAATAGCTCATTCAAGTCTTTCTGGGGGTTTTTTTTTTTTTTTTTTTTTTTTTTGGAATGCAATATAGAATAAACATTAAAATACCGATCATTGATGGAAATATCTGCAAGTAATGCAAGCTGATAAAAAAGCGCATTTCTACCATTCTACTCCTTAAAGCAGTAATTCTTGACATTTCGTTGCAGCGTAAAAAATAGTGCTAAAATCATGTATAATAACAAAGCTGTATAAAATTTTTTTGGAAAAAAAATGTATTCTTGGACATTGCTAGTTGCTAAAATAACCTATAGCTATTTTACTAGCGCAGGTAAAATAAAATGGGCTAGTTGCCATTAAACATGCCCTACGGCCTATTAAACTTGAAAGAGAGAGCCATTAATATCACATTGGCAAATTAATAAAAAAGATGGCAAAAATAAAGTTTAATGCAACGAAAACTCTATTAAATATATGCAATGAATATACAATAAATTTACCATTTTTCCCATTGCAACTGCAGGACGGGATAGCGAGTGAATGCCTGAGTTTTCAGACAACACGATTGATTACCTGCTTCACCGATAGTAGCTTCACCCGCGGCTGGTCCAATCTTACTAATTAAGAACGAAAGTTTGCCCGGTCAAACGCTTTACGCCCATACTAATGCAGAGGATGAGGTGGGGGGGGGGGGAGTGTTAGGGCGGATCGATAGTGTGCCATGGAGAAAGGGGTCAGTTGTGGTTGTTGTCCTCCCCCCCCCCCCTCACTTCTGAGGGGAGGGGTTTTTGTGACCCGCAATTAAGGTTCGCGTTTGCCATGAAAGTTGCGTTTGGATATTCCATAATTATCGTACACAAGTTTATATAGCCATCTGTGGAAAGCATACCATAATTGAATCTACGCACTCATCAAATCTTACCTAGGTCCAACGGTTTGCGATATATTAACAGCAACTTTTAACTGCGTACCATAATTGTTTCGGCTGGCAACAAGCACTCCAAAGCTTCCCGCAAGCTTTCCAATAAGCCTTTGCGGGTCTAAATCGGATGAACGGTTCAAAATTTATTAAAGATTAAAAGTACGAGTGTACCATAATATACTAGATTTCATTATTAACATAGTAAGGTGTTTTTTTGCGTACTCCTATATACCACAAATAATTATTTCTGATAAATTTTACTTTTATTGTACATATCTGTGTTACAATAACAGCCGGTTGAGCGAGCAACTCTAGTAGTTATTGCACATATTATACATACCATAATTACCTGATTCACCCATCGTGGCCTAGCCCGCGGATTCCGCAGGCCCGAACCTTGGTAACTCGTGAAAAAAAAAAAAAAAAAAAAAAAAAAGTATTGTTGACGGTGAGCAGCGACTCCCCCCTACCCTTCCCTCCTAGAGGAATGGATGGGTGGAACCAAGTTTGTGCACACCTTTGGACATTCGACTGTCGAACCCCGCCTCCCAATTCTACCATTCCCCTGGGAGAGATGCGATGATCGGGGTGCGTTTTACACCTTGTTTTCGGCCTGGGAGTCGCATTTTTGCCCGGTTTTCGTGGGATTTGGGAGATGATTGTCTTTCTATACCCTACCCTCCCCTAATGGGAAGTTAGGCCCTTCGAACCTTCTCACCCCACTCCCTAAAATTCCCCCTCCCCCTTCCACCATTTTCGCCTTTGGTATGTGCTATGTGGCTCATGTTATCGTATTTTATTGGAATTTGGTATTTAACTTTCTTTTTAAGCCCTCTAGCACCCTTAAAACAGGTTAGACCCTTTCGGTAACTTCCCCTACCTTAAGAATATACCATAATTTGTACCATAATTATACTATATAGTCACCTTGAATAATTTTCATGTACAATAGTTATAGTACAGTGTACCACGACTTTGGTGTTTCGTACGACAGTTCCTAAAAGCGTACCATAATTTACTCTACTACTCCCCAGTATTCCGAATACTTCTGGCATATTACTTCAGCGCCGACACAAGACCCGGTAAAATTTTGAAAGTGTAAAAATGTACTATAGTTTCACAAATTCGCAGCCTTGGAAGGTGCGAGCGACCGCCGATAGGTGCGAGTGAGCAACTTCCGAAGTCATTGTATCAATATGTGTGCGCGGGCATGACTTATCACGCATTTTGATTGTATGTAAAACTTCTGTAAAGTGAAAGCTTAATATTTTGGCACATTATGTCAATAGCGTACTCACGAAGCAAATCTTCTCCTAATAGCACACATCTTAGCCTCGTTTTACTTAAATATAATAAAGTACGTTTCAAGTTAAGGAGCTGCAACGAATGGTGCAAGAACTCTTTTCAGGCTGTGTCTCAACTCGAAAGTGTGCTCACTCTCACTCTCAACTCTCACTCTGGCACACTCTGGCTCACTTTAGCGAATTGAGTCTTGTGCCCTCTGTAAGTCTTCGGCATTATTTATCTGACAGTAAAGGTAATATATATTAAAAAATTAAGTATTGTTTGCCTTTCACTTTCTTAGAATAAATGTACACTATTTTAAGAAATAGTAAGTAATTCTAATTTAAACATTTTTGCATGATTGAAAACATAATTTTTATGTGCAAATCACAGTATTTAATAATATGCACGTAATTAATCTAAATTAAACGTGAACATAATAACATCATAATTTATTATATTCCTTGTCAAACGGAATATTGTTGTTATTACACATTTCACAATCGCAGTGATTAAGTTAAGTCGATAAAATATTTCTAATACTGCTTTTGAAAACAACAAAATATATGTTTGGATATTTGAGGTTAGATTTGAAAGCATGGCTGTCAGAGAGGGCGCGAGAGTGAGCTCCGTGTACATCGTCGTTCACTCTCCCTCTCGCGCTCTCTCCACGGAGTTGGGACGACAGAGAAGACTCTGTGACGTCAAGAGTGAACGAGCCTCAGTAAGGCCTACAACATAAAGGACCATTACACAGCACTTAGTTGCATTAGCCACATTCTTGTAAACTCTGTTAAATCTCGCACATATGTAATTTTAGCGCCAGGAAGCTTTTCAGGCGGAACGATTATTGTGGTGAGGGTGTTTTCTCCCGGTGCTGCAGCTTACGCCCCTGGATTCATCCAGTCACTACTTGACCCCTACCTCATTTCGCGTCGTTTTCTGCAAAGCTAGCAAGGAGCTTAAAGCCTAGACCTCGGATGAGGCAATGGGCTCCACTTTATCGCTAGTTTCAAAATAAATTAACATATAAAATTACATTCTCGATTCTCAGATCTTAAAAATGTGTTGGTCTGAGTTTAAATTGTTTAAATTTATTCTTTCACGACAAAAAGAGAATTTGTCCCGCAGAGTTTTGGAAACACGCAATAAATGCACTTCCAAGAACAGCACTAGTACTTCCGGGTTACGCAAATTATGAGACACGCCATGGCTTGCGTTATAAAAATCACTCGATAAATTTCTTCGATACATTGCGAACATTTCAGGATTTAAATACTTATAATTATTAATATGAATAACAAGTGTATAGTTGGTTTCGTGGTGTAGTGGTTATCACGTCTGCTTTACACGCAGAAGGTCCCCGGTTCGATCCCGGGCGGAACCACGTAACTTTTTATTTTCACATTCATATTGTTGTTCCCAGTCTACTCTTACAAAATACGGAATTCATCATACGTAACACTTATATCGTTTTTAATGATTTCCGAAAATAATAATGAAATGAAAGAATGTTTTAACACACTCAATGTGGTTTACTCAACTCACTATATGAGGTGTGTGTGTCTCTCTCTCTCTCTCTCTCTCTCTCTCTCTCTCTATATATATATATATATATATATATATATATACACACACATACACATATATAAATTTAGATAATCCCTACTTTTAATAAAACAATGTTTGATAATTTGCTGAAAAGTAAGTAGAGATAAAGCAGATATTGTTATAAATAATTTACCTGATTTCTCAGGTTTGTATATTATCAAATATTTTAATACGTGATTTTTATTTTTGAAAGTCGAAAAATAAGAAGGAACGATTAATACGACCGTATATATAATTCTCGTAATCAGTACAATTTTTCATAAAATTTAAATCACTAAAAATTAATTAATAGACGGTGGATGTTGTTGAAATACCGAACAAATTTTCTTTTATTAAAAAATGCTTTATAACTTTCTGATGCCAAATTTGGTACAAACCGGTCATAAAGGAGTGTTAAACTAGTAGGCATGTTAAAATAAATATGTTGTATTCTCACTACAATACTACTCTCATACAAGTTAAAAACCTCACAATTTTTGTAGTTCAAGTAATTACCCGTACGTAATTTTACGAGTAACTGATAATGCTATTGAAAGTCTACATAAGTTTTTAGTGTTTTTTACTCAATCATAACAAAAAAAAATAGTATTTTTGTTACAATCTGTTTCGTCGAAATCGTTCCAATCGTTATCGTGTTGATGGGGATATGCAAAAAAAAAAAACTCTCAGAATCATAGGAAGTTAATTAACTATACTTTATGTTGCTTTCATAACGTTGGTAGCCTAAACTCTTCACTCCCTGAGTGGGTTTTTTTATGCTCATAGTTGGTTCAAATTAGTTTTATGATTTCAGACAAGCAGTGTGATTTTTCTCCACAACGATTTAAATTGCAACCATTTTGTAAAAGGGTAAGATGTATTTAGAAAACTCAAATTGATTGTTGAGCTCCATTTAATGATATGTATACCAACATTACGATATTATTTCCCATGATACTGTAGTAACAAAATTGAATTTCTGAGCGTTACGATTACAAAATCAACAGTAT